GCCAGGTTCTTGGTTTGTTTTACCCCAATAAAATACTTAATTGGCAGGGTCGCAACCATATACTGTATAATGATGCAGTAAGAGCCAACACTCCGACATAACCACTTAAGTATTCAAAGGTTAAGTTAGGTAATTTCTTAAGTGTGATACTGGCCTGGTGAAAAAAACAAAACAACACCCCTCAATCTGGCAGTGCCACAAATATACATTTTTTTAAAAAGGAGAAGCTCATTTTCAGTTCATAATTTTAATAATAATAGTGTTATCATATATATAAATATTTAAAATATTTACGCACATTGTCAGACAGATGTAAAATGCTCCGTCTAAAGGCTCATTTATTTTACATATTAAAAGAGTCTTTGACATGGTTTCAAGCGATTAAATTATATGATCTTAACACAGTTTGAATGTGTTACTGCAGAGACCTGAAGAGATCTGATCAGAGCCCAAACAGATTTAAATGGTTTAGATAGAGATTAAGAATGCAAACTTTCCTTTTCCAAACAGTTTGAAATTACTGCACAGAAAACTGACACATGTTGTGCTTGTTTACAAACCACTGGGACTACGTTTGCACCATTAACTGCAGAGTGCATGTGTGTGTTTTCCTGCAGCTATAGGATGAGCTTCAGTGGGGGAATGGTGAGGCCCAGCAGCAGCGACCGCCCGCCCGCCTCCCTGCCTGCCTGGCTGGACTGCAGCTCCACACAACCGGGCCAAAGTAAACATCTTCCCCACAGTCTCCTCTGCTGACATGACATGATTGTGCGCTGTGGAGCCGGAGGAGTGCGCGGCTCGCAGCGGTCACATGCGTACCTCAAGCATCTTCGTGCATGCATACATTCATGCCTGTGTGTGTCCTTGCGTATGTCTGCACAACCAATTGGGACAATTTGAGCCCTCAAGCTTCTGAATTACATCTTTATCTTTCTCTATTTTCCCCTGTTACATCTAAATCACCCCCCCTGAGCAGCGAGCGGGCAGCCACAGTCTCCACTGCTCGGATGGTGTCCATTAAAAACACCAGGAGCACAGAGCGGTGACCACACCTCTGCCAGATCCCACAGTTTAATCCCTGCAGGGAAGCTTTGACCAAAATGAACCAAACCGGCAGCTTTTATCCGCAAACCCCCACATTTTATTTGCCCAACTAAAAGGAAATAGATGGTGGAAACAGCAATTAGTGAAAACCTAACAAGAAAATATAACTTTCCCCTACAGTCGACAATAAAGGAACAATATCCCTCCTAAGAGACTTTAACACAAATGGATATTAATGATTTAAATCAATTATTATTATCAAACAATGATCTGATTCTTTTTAAGTGTTATATTTTGTTGCATTGCTGTAAACTTTTAAACATTTCATGCAACACCTTTTAAATATAAATGTGTGAATATTGGTGTATATATTATTTTTCATTTGTATTTGTATGTGCATGTATATATGTATAATGTTTTTTTCTTAAATGTGTTGTCTTTTACCTGGTTCTGGATTTTTTCAATATTCCAGGTTAATTTGATGTGAAACTCGATATTTAATTTAAAGTCCTCGCTGCTAAACTGTATTTTAACGTCTCTTTCTGCTCCGTGGAGAAAGATTGTGTGACTGACTCAAATGCTCCAGAATCGCAAACAAACGAACTAAGATCTTCCAATTTAATACTAATAATGGTCCAACTAGTGGAAAATAAGTTGTGCTGCTTCTTTTACGCATCCAATACAAAATCCATAGTAGAGGCTGTGGACACGTATGAAAACACAAAATGGTCTCATTAAGTTTTTGGGGATCTTTTTTCCATTTTGAGGTTTCAACCCCAGGGTTGGAAATGCTTGAGTTGCCAATTCCATCAAGCCCCCTCCCTTACCTGCCCTGGATCCCATGTTAACCACCTAAGTGCCACAATTAATCCATTTCCTCTGCAGCAATTAGACCTGTTCATTAGGTTTTCCATGACCTTTTATCCCCCCAAGAGAGTCTGGTGTTGCGTGGTTCAAAAGAGGCTGTGTGGCTCATTCAGGGTGATACATTACACAACCGTGAAAACTTGGAGGGACATTTAGGAGATGGAGGCCTCCTCGTCTTCATACTGAGCTTTAAAACTTCTCAAGAGTGGGGGGGTTAGAGTTAACATGGGACTGACACAAGAAGGAGAAAGGGACGGAAAGTTTTTCTTTTTCTGGATATGATCTGTTCATCGTGGATATCCATAAATCATATTTATCGCCGTCCTTCAAGGAACAAAGATGCACACACATGCAGAAGCAGGATGTCCTCAGGCTGTTTCTCTTTGCTCACCGGGCAGAGGAAGGATGTTGACAAATAAAAAATAAAAAGATGTTATAAGGCTGCAGGCCTCAGACGTAGAAATAAGACCTTTCCGGCAACTTTTATACCAGCACATCACAAAAATAGACACACTGGGCACAAACATCAGAACCTAAAGTTGTGTATCTGTTGCAAAGAGTTTTCCATCCCAGCTTCAAAAGACGGAGGTCAAACTGGACAAAACAAAACATTACGAAAAAAAGAAACTTCAAAGCCGCCACATTGGAACCTTGCTTTTTGAAGAAATTGCCCCCGAGCAGGCTCATTCATCAACCTCCAGCAGTCGCACTGGGGCGTAAATATTTCCATGTTTAGGCTGTGAATAATGTGCGAGTCAGAACACACTGCTACCAGTTTATTTTATACGTTAATCTCCTTCAAATAATGAAAGGTGAAATATTTAGAGCTGTGGTTAATCTGCAGTGCGACTCCTGGAGATGTTTCAGCTTTTTCTGACAAATAAACAAACCATGGGGACTTCCTGCAGGGGGGAGTGGGTTTAAATGAAGCTTGACAGTGGTGGCTGTGGGAAGTGTGTGTGTGTGTGTGTGTGTGTGTGTGTGTGTGCTCTGCTGTGAGACTGATGGCAGGTTTCAGACCATTTGCTGCTGTGTTATTGCTGAGAAACACGTCCACCCCGGAGGCTGTGTGAGGAAGAAGCTGGAGCTCAGTGGGTTGATGGCTTTATAAATCATGGGCAAGCTGGGACCAATGCGTGTGCACGTGCATGAGTGTGTGTGTGTGTGCACCCAAAAACCAACTTATAAACACACGCTCGACACTTATTCATGCAGATATATAGACTTATAAAACAGTTTCCTAATTATTCTATTCTTGGCAGTCTGCAGCAGCCACTGAAATAGCACCTAGGTCATCAGAGGAAAAGAACGATTTAAAGTAGGTTAACACCTCTGTGAAAGGAGCTCACACAGCGACTTCATCTCATGATCTTTTCAAAAGAAACAAAGTCAGTATATCTTTAAAACTCTATAGACTTTATCCGATTATCAGAAAAAAGACTTTTTGCGGATTAGGAGTTTGTTTATCAAATCATTTGTGCTTATTCACTTATTTATTCACTTTCCATCAAAACGTAATCTCAGGTTTTAAGGTTTTTGTGGCATCAATCACTTTGCGTAAGTAGACGTCACTATTTTGAGCTGAAACAAAACATTGTACAGACCACCACACACACACACACACACACACACGGATATGCATGCCAACGCTACCAATCATGTGCAGACAGACATCCTCCGCTCTCTATTCCGACACAAATGGGGTCAATTCTACACACACTCAACCACCAATGAAAGAGGATCCCCCAAAATTACCACTTTGCTGGAGCCTGGAGCAAACCAGTGACTTCATGTCTACAGCAACGAGACTGATTTACTCACATCCACCCCCTTCTAAACTCTGACCACAGCACAGAAAACCCACCTACTACCCCCTGAGAGCACACACACACACACACACGCGCGCGCCCCTCGCCTCTATCTGTTAAACGTTTACACCATTCCACATCCTTCCCTTTTTTCTCTGCTGCCCCTTCCTCTAAAAAACACGTTCGCCGACCCACCTCAGCACCCGAGCTGTTAGGAGAGTGCGTTGTGTTATCAGCGGTAGATAACGGGAGGTCAGACAGAGACTCAGAGCCAAACGACTCCGTAAACACAGCCGAGCAGTCTGTGTGTTATTGTCTGCACTGGCCGATGGTTACCGAGATAAAGGATGCACGGATTCAACAATCACACAGCGTGCGGACACAAAAGACGTAGAATCAATTGACGGTGATAAGAACTTCATATTAATCACCAGTGTGTTTACTCCACAAGCTCTGAGAGGAGCTGTAGACGGACAATGGGAATTACACCGACATCGCCACGGAGAATTTTACAGTCCTTCGAGAAACACAGCAATAATTTTAAGGCCCAGCGTAGAAACCCACAAATATTAAATCCATTCCTAGAAATCATGACATGTAAGTGCCAAACATAAGATTCCTCTTGGTTCCGATCTGGGATTGTTTTGCCACTGATTCTGGTGGGTTTGAGACGCTTCAGTCCACAGTGTTGATAGATCAATTCCTGGTGCTGGAGGTGACTGGAGCGTGAGCGTGTGTGTGTGTGTCTCCAAGCTTGAGGTTAATGAATTACAGGCTTGACAGTTCAGGATTATCCCAGGGGTGGGAAACAGATAAAAAGGAAGATAATCATTCCCCCTCATCTGCACAGACATAAAAGCCAAAACAGAAAATGCAATGCCAGATTTTTTTAAACTTCTTTCTGAGGTTGGAAAACAAGTTTTTAAGCTTTGAACTTGGCTTCCGTTGCTCCCTCCTCACTAAAGAAAACGACCTAATCGTCAGAAAACAAACACTGCATTCTTTCAGAAACCTTTCAGAGTCTCAAAGGTGATTTTAAAGTTGTGTCGCTTGATAAAATACTTGGAAAAAATAAAGATTGCCCCAGGCCATTTCCACTGGGGGGGGGGGGGGTAACTGCATTGGAGTTAGTGGTAAAAGTTGAAATAGTTTTAAATTAGCCTGACACAGAGTTAAAACATCATAGACTGAAGCCTGAGGTCGAGTTGATCAGTGAGTGAACACCGCCCCCTGGTGGAAGAGAAAATGAAGCCCCCAGTAAAAGGTGCGTTGGGCACTCACCACAGGTGTAGATGACGCTGAGGTACTTCCTGGTGCCAGAGTAACACGGATCTCCAAAGTCTCTGGTGGAGGCTCGGACCAGGCAGCTCTTCTTACCCTGACAGCGAGCGGTGACGACCTGCAGAGCCACAGACGACTGGCAGTCTGACGGAGAGACGGAGAAGGAGGAGATCAATTCTGACTGGCTAAAACAAATCCCTTTATATCCTCAAACATTTCATAATGGAGGGGTCACAGTTGTTCTTAAAATATCTGTGCTGGTCACACGTAAACTAATTTCTTATAGGAAGATTGTGGAAAAGTGTAAATTGGTTCCAATTAAAGAGAAAATTCACCTTATTTGTAAATCAATTACAATTCATGAGCAAATGAAATTAAAGTAAATCTAAATAATTTGCGTGAACATTAATCAAGATATTGTGAATGTTCATATTACAGGTCATTCTCTTGCTGCCTGTTGAGTGTTTGATGGACAAGCAGCACTTCAGGCACAATAACAGTACATGAGTCTCTGTCAGCTACAACAGCGATGGACTCACACACACACACTCACCTACTTGCACACACATGCGCTGCAGACAGTAAAGGACCATCTCTCACACACAAAGGTTTTCTCAGCTCCCACGCTGGAGCCTCTATCCACAACAGACCCTCACAGAGGAACCTCACTGGGGCCTCACATTGTCTAAAGAGATACCTGATCCAGCGTGTGTGTGTGTTTGTGGAAGTGTGTGTGGGTGTGTGTGAGTGTCTGTGTATAGAGACCAGACGGAGTAATGGATGGGACTCATACATCATCACTAAGCACCCGGCAGCTCCTGCAGATCTTTGAGGATGGACAGATGAGGCTCTTTTCTTTCCTTTTTCCGCTCTGACTTCCTAATTCTATACCCACATTTAAATAAAACACCCCTTTAAAGTGGCCTGCAAATTTGGTGTCCTCGTTAATTGATTGGTCTTGAAATGATCGCACTTGAGTGGGGGGAGAAAGTCGTTTTACACATTTCCAGAATCCAACAGAACATCTTCAGATTGCTTGTTTTATCAAACAAATTATTGAATATTGAATTAATGAAATAATTCATTTGCAAAATCATTGTTGTTAACATTTCTAACAATCAGTTCAGTTCTCTTAAAGACAGTAACATGCAAGCTGAGGGCATAAATCTTTATTCAGACAGTAACTGGGCTGCATGACTATAGTTGAAATAATGATCACAAAAATATAAAATATGTGATTCTTCCTTTTATGAAAACTAGATCTGAAAACATTAAACTAAATTCAAACAGTGCGCACCAGTGGCATCTGTATTCTACCCCATGTTCCACGTCATGAACTGAAGTGATGCTACAGATGGAGGTGTGAGAGGCACTAACTAAGTTGGACGACCCTCCCCCTGGGTTTTGTGGGAAAGGGAATGGGTCTGGGTTCCACATGAATTCCTCCAAGGCCCCTGTATAGTCCATCTAACTCCTAAAAACAACACTAGGAGATGAGCCTTTGAAAGTGGACACTGGGGTCTCGCACCGTCTGCCCCGGTGGGCCCCAAAGAGAGATCAAGAAAGAAAAGGTAAAGAGAACAGGCTCAGCTCACACGTCAACGGGCCGCAACAAATTATGGCACAGGTCAAAGGGTAAATGTCGCAGTCAGGAAGTGAAAGACGGTAATCAAGTGGTCGTGGACACTGTCAACACTGGAATTTCTTGAAATGGTCCAGAACTGTGTGACCCTGCCTCAGAGAGAAAACACCAGGTCCAGCTCGTTTGTGACTCTGTAAAAATGTGAACCCAAATCAATCAATCAATCATTTGGATGATGTTCAAAGGGGCAGCCGGACATTTCCCAGCAGGAGACGACAGACTGGAATTCCCCACCACAATCAAATGAGGTGGAAGACGGCAGCACCGGGGAGTCAGACACCTCGGAGGTTAAGTGACTGAGCTGCTATCATCATCTGCAATAAAAGGTCAGTCTCAGTGAAAGAGTCAGAATTCATTCTTATGTTGATGAGTTCTGGCTTTTTATACACTGAGACAAGGACCTATGGGTGTAACTGCCAATTCGAAATGAATAAAAAGCAATATTTCTTTATCACTGACCACTTGATGCTGTTAAAAGTATTTGCAACAATTGGGATTTTGGACTTTTAGGGTAATCTGCTAAACAAAGATCTGGTGAAAGTTTAATAATATAGAGATCCTGCATTTATCTCGATTTGTACCCTGCAGCAAAGTGGTCTCTTAGTCTCCCCGATGTGCTTTAATGTGTTCTCCGTCTTTCCTTCCCTTCCCAGAGGGCTCAGTTGAGCCGCTGTGCCACACAGAAAACTTTCCTCCCCACTGACAGACAGGCCCCCATTAGCTGCTGCTTTGATTACTGGCTGTGGGTGATTACTTGAGCAGGAGGCCCACAGTGGAACGGGTGGGGCTGGAGACAGATAGAGACTTCTAGAGACAAGAGGATGGAGACACACACACACACACACA